ATATTTTATAGTTTTGTACTGTTAAGATAATACTCCTAAAAGAAGTTTTTAAAATGCACAAGCCAGTGATGGGATTGCAACAAAATTTCAAAAACAACTGGACAAAGGAGGGAGGACTTAATTTACAAGCAAATGAATGTGGCCAGCCCAGAGATGGGTCATCCATCAAGATGGTCCGAGGAACGCAGGGACAATGAATGCACGATAAATATCTGATATGGAGAAGCCATCAGAACATCTCAATACTGAATTCTGGGAACACAATCACGGGTGTTCATCACTCTCCAGACATGTTTTGTTTAACTTGCCACAGAGAAAAGAACACCACATGAATATGTGCAGTCCAAAAAGGAAGAAAAGGGACTCTGCCTTGGGCAAGAAAAACCATATAAAAATCAGTCAGACAGGACAGTCGGTGTGAAGCATAGGAAACCAGAGCCTCTCTGCTCCCCTCTCTCAAGCTGCAAAGTCCCCATGCAGTTGTCAAGAAACTGCTGTTGTTTGGCAACCAAGTTGATGGCCAGTGTGAAATGACTGTCTCACGGCCAGTGTGGGAAAAAAGTCTGCCTCACACTCATGGCAAATGCAGAACACACATGGCTCTTTACTGCATAACTTAATTACTGTTTCATGTTTATTAGAAAAACCCTTCCTCTTTCAGGATGATGAGCGAGGGAAGGAAAAAGCAGGCAAAAGCCATCCTTGAAATGGGCAGGTTTTAGAGAAATTGCCAATTCATAATTCATAATAATAGGCCATAATTCATACTGCACAATCCCCTGCTGCTGCCTCTGCCATTTCTTGCAAGCCAGGGTTGTGCAGCTCCTGCCTTTTCCAGAGCAGTGCACTGCTGCAGCCTCGGCAGAGCCACTGCCTGCTGCTCCAGCACAGGCAATAATGTAGGTGAAAGATGCCCACTTCCCACAGCATCATCTGATGCCAGAGTACACCCCAGCATCTTCACATCCCCCATAACTTCTAGGCTCTCTCTGAGCTTTTGGCACTCTCTGGCATGAACATCTGGGCTACATTTTAGAAGTGTCCCTCCCACACCCGTCACCAGCTCTTCAGAGTGTTGTCACACCAGTGACACACACCTTCCCTCTGCCTACAAACCAAGCATCTGTAGCTTTTCAGACCCAAATTCAGCTTTTCCTTATTGAACTTCCACTTCCAGGCTGCCTGCTGTACCTTAACATGCCTCAATCTCAACCTAAAGGCTTTAGAAGCTTGTGGGATTTCCTCCAAAGGTAGTTCTTAACCTTCCCTTGCCATTTCTCCTCTCACAATGTCCACAGCTTTAGTCAACATTTAGACAGTAACATTTCCAGGGCAAAGCCAGGGTCATGCCAGTCCCCAAAGACTACACAAAACATTCCTCCCTTCTCCAAAATATGCCTGTTCATCATCTTAGCCTGTTAAACTGAGATTCAAAAGCTGCATGTGTGTATCTTTCTTAAGTCAATGGAGCCCTTTTTCTGCTACAAGGTTTTCCCATCTCAGAGATGGACTGTCTAGATAATGCAGATTTGAAGTATTTTTAAAAATTATTTATTTTTGTAACTTGCACCCAAATTACACCTATGACAGCAGCTTTCTCTAAGAGCCTGGATATAGCTGTGTGGCTTGTCAACATCACAGCAAAGCTGCAGCTGTATCTAGTGCTGCAAAGTCCTTCCCAGAAATTCTTCTGACTTTAAGAGGGTATTGAAGCCTAGGCTTGAGAGTACCTGCATAAAGTGAACAGCAGCAGGAAAAATATCTAATCTAGCCCTATTGACTGTTGACTTCACATAGAGCAGGAATGATGTTTGACTTCCTTGGAGGTTGCATGAGGGGTAGCACAGACTCTCCGTAACTTGTAACTGTCCGTAACATCATTTTCCCTCTGATGTACTGCCCAGAGATAATTTTACTTTGATTTAATTAGAGCTAAATTTGGAGTGGAGTTCACATCATGAGCAAAGCTTGACCATGCTGGACATATTGCCAGCTGTTGGATTAATTTTGGAAGCCCAAGTACATAATTCTTTATTCAAAAGCCAAATATTTAGCCTTCAGTGCCAGTGTGTTATGCAGAGTATGAAATAGCCAGGCAGCTTCCTGACCGTGGAAGAAACACCTCTCCAGGGCATTGATTTGAGCTCCTGGAAAGCTTCTGGGTTCAGATGAAGGTGATCTTTATCCCCCACCTTCCAGGTCAGTGGCTACGATCATTTAGGTGTGGCTTCCCAGATCAAAGGACCAACAAGGATAGTTTCAGGTCAAAATTTCAGGGCACAGTCTGGGCATGCACACTGCCAGCTGCTGTAGAGGCCTTTTCTTCAGTTCTCAAAGCAGCAGAAAATCAGTAGTTGCCCATCCCATGGACAAAAGCTCTTAGTGTCTCCTTGTCTCTGCAGAAATAGCCTTTGCTCACAGATGTTGTGGACTGCTGAACATGAGAAGCTGAAATGCTCAGAGGGAGAGGCAGTGCTGAGTAGATCACTTTCCCATCTCTCCTGGGGTTTAATTTGGAATAGTAACCTCTTCACAGCAGTTTGAGCTTCAGTTCTGTCTTTTCAGCAGACAGCATCAGGCGTGGCTTAACCCACAACTGAGCTGCAGTTTGCTTTCTTCTTTCTTCACCTCTCTGGTCCACTTTTGGCCCTCGCCCCCACAGGCAAAGTCCACCAAGTCAATGCTCCTCACAGGAATTCACCTTGCTGCTACTGGCCCCTCCATCCTCCCAGTCCCTGCTGCAGGCGAAGCCCAGTGCCTGGGAAACCAGTGCTTAAGTAGCACTGCTGCAGCTGCAATGGGCTCGGCATCCACACCACCGCCCTGACAGGGGCTTCTTTTTCTCTGCTGAACACCGAGAGAAAGGATATCTGCTGTACACACAGCAATTCCACACACCAGGCTGACTGTGGTAAAACCAGGAGCAGGAAGTAGGAAGTCTCAGGTCTCCAGCAGATGCATGAAGCTCAGCTCATCTGCTCTGCACTGCCTTGCCTTTGCTGCAGGAACAGCAGCAGCTGCTGCCCAGCCCGCAGCGGGCTCCCAGAGGGTTACATGTTCCATAAGACCAGGCAAAAATTGTAATTCCCTGGTTCTGTGCAGGCTCGTGCCCACTGAGTATCAGCTCCTGTCAGCCAAGGGAGGCATGTAAACATCCCACTGCTGGGTGGGGGGAGTTGTCCTCTGAAATCAGGACTTTTTTTCTCCTTCCACGTAATTTCCCTTTATTACAGAAAGAGTGATCAGGGCCTTTTCCTTGATGTAAAGCTGCAGGAAACCAAATTCAAGAGGCCCTTCACAGCTTCCTACTTAGCCAGCTTTACCTTGCTCAGCACTGCAGCCAGGGCTGCCCAAACCATTGCCAACCAGGAAAGCACAATAACAATGTCCCAGAAGCAACTGCTATTTATATGAAGGAAGACTTAACCGCGATTAAATGAAGGTTACAGTGAAGGACAAGCAGAAAAATCTGGAGGAGAGCAGAGAACAAGAAAAGCAAAAGAAAGCCTTCTCTGGCTTTAAATTTTCTTGCAGAAAGGAATCAAAGTAAATCTTACAAATTTTTGTGCAGTTAGAGGACCCCAGAGCATTTTGCTATGCAGTGATTCAAGTTCTCCTTTATTCCCAATCAAGCGCAAAGAGAAAAGCCCCAGGGGTGAGTGGCCATGAACACGCAAAAGAAAAATAGACTTTTACTGTTTTTTCTCCCTATGCTTTGTTTTCATGAAGGATGTTAGGAGCAGCCCACCCAAAAGCCTTTTATCTCAGGAGGAGACTTGAGCTGGAAATAGGTACCTGTAATTAGCTTGCCTTCCAGAAGGGGAGAAGTAAATTTACCTGGCTTTTCTTCATAAGGCATTTCAAAGAGAAATTAATTTTTGATGAATGAGCATGTGCATGCTGACCTGCAGTTAGTTTTCAGGCCTCGCTGCTCTAGACACAGCTTTCACTTGTCCACTCACAGATGTACTAAAGAAATAAGCACAACAGCCCTGCTGGAAACCTGTATCACTTTCACGGGAATTGCTACAATGAAAAGTGGACATTGTCAGAGCAGGGCTGCACTGCACAGGACACCTTATTCCACCCCGAAACAGCAGCAAGTGGAGCTGCCTTTGCTCCTGAGAAGGTGAAAATCCACAGGTCCCTCAAGTACAGGCATTACACAGAAACACCGGTTCAATCCAAGAAGTAGAGCTGCTGAAGACAGCAAGATAAACAAATAAGAAAGCTTGTTCCTCACTTCCTCCTTTTCTCTCCATGGGTGGTGATGTTCAGAAATGCCTCAATTTGGATTAGCCTGTACCTACTCTCAGTGTGAGGCACCTCAGATGCAATTCATCCTGCCTATCTAAAGACATTTGCTTGTGAGAAATATCATCAGAGTCCCCTTTAAGTTGATTAGAGTCCAGTCTATATGATTAAATCTACTTTAGGATGAGACAAATCCTCGACAGGCTCCAATGATTGATTGCATCTTCTTAGGTCTTCAAGGGCAGCTGAGACAAGCAGCTCAGGTGCAAATGACCACATCATACACTCCTAAATTTTGAGGATGATGAATACTACCTGGAGACCTGCCTCCTGAATCTTGGTGTGGCCACATACACAGCTCAAGTCATAACCTGAACACTAAAACACTGTAGAAACTCATGGGCTCCCCCAGCCCACCAAGCCTGAATCTGGTATTGGTACCATCAAAGCACTTGTCCTGAGGGTTCAGCAAGTCAGGGCACTCCTGAAGCCTGAGCCAGCAAATGTCACAACCCTCATCCAAGCTGAGTACCCCCAGTCATGCCACCTACTCCTGCCTTCAGACAGCCTCCAGGCTTTGCAATTAGCCCTGGCTCTAAAGACCCATCAACTAAAACATGATCTGTGCCACATAGGGAAAAAGTTGGACATGCAAGCAACTCACAGATCTGTGCCTCCACTCTCCCTGCAGTTTTCTTGCCAGCTCTGTACTTGTAGCAATGCAAAGTCCAGGTGGTTACAGACCTCCTTCCTTAGGAACTCCCAACATGAAGGATTCCTGGGTTAGGTTGCTCTTCCTTGTACCAGTGCAGAGAAATACAAGAAAAGAGGAAAATGAGACAAATTTCCTTAAGGTCACAAGGGTAGTTGATAGGTTTCCCTCCATAAGTAATCTGCATATATGTCTGCCTTGCTGAAAAGTGTAACCTGAAGTTTCAGACACTCATTTCCAGGGAGAGCATGCACCAGATGCCAGGTTAAGTGGCTTTGGCACAGGAAGGGCTGAATCACCAAGAGAGGCTAAAGGAGAGTCAAACAATAGAACAACTCTGTTTTGAATGTTGGTTTCAAAATTATTTTCTGACAAAAGTGAATTTGCTTTCTTCTTCTAGTTAGAAATGTTCTGTGAACATCTTTTTTTCATTTACTCTGAATGCTTCTCACTACCACACGTATGTCTCATCCCATTTTTGTCTGTTTTTCTCCTCACATGGGAATGAGGATGACACAACTGCAAACAGTAAGTACCTTACATGGCGAGTATGTAGATCCAGCTGAAAGAGATTGCACATTTTTATTTTCTTCTTCTCGAGAACACTATCTTCCCCAACACTTCTTCATTATATTTGAGAAAAAAAAAACAAAAAAAACCAAAAAACTTCTAAAGAACTTATTCTCAATGCTGTATCAGCCAGGCACTGCCTATGCAGTGACCTGAAGTGGCAGCTGGCAGCACAGGAGTAAAGAGTCATGTATTTAGGCACTGTGCTCATTAGCTGTTAACCAGAAAGGTATCAAGATACTCCTAAGCTACTTCTGTCCTACAACAAACAGCACATTACTGGATAAAACAAAAGCACCCACTTGGAGGCCAGCACAGGACACCACTATTGCCATATAATCCAGAGCCCTACAGCTGACCAGTTTTCTAGCAAGTGATTCTGTCTCAGGCTGTTCTAGCATGGGGACAAATCCCATAATTCATATATTTCATATGGAGCCATTACAGCTCATCAGCTACTTATCAGAGGGGCTCTGCTACAGTTAAGTTTTTATGCTAAAATTCCCATAATATGCAGACACAGGAGCCTGTGGCATCTCTTCTACATCAAACCAAAAATCTTTGGAGTAACCCATCTGATCCATATAAATTATTCACAAGTAATAACTTCAGCAGAAAATGCCAACCTCTACTTCCAGGCAAGGCAACAGAGCATAAAATCTCCATGCCCTGTGATCATTGCTCAGTTTCTCATCCTATGAAAAAAACCAATCAAGGGGAAAAGTGAAATTCAGTGTTTCCCACATGAATGCATCCATGGCTTCCCAGGAGGACATTGTTTGACAAGCATCTAGGAGGCCATTAAAGCAGGCTCTGTTCCTCAGCAATGCTGCTTTTCCACAGGCTCAGTGATGAAGGCACAAGCCTTACACACACAAAACCCCAGCTGTGGCTCCATCACCAGCTGAAATCTATTTTTAAAGCTGTCTCCATGTACACAGAAGCAAGTCCTCCAAGCCTGATTTTTCTCTAGCCCTTGCAGTTTAAGTCAAGAACAAATAATACCTTTTGCACAAGCAGGAACTAATTAGCTCTTCAAAGCTCCCCTTCACAGGTGAAATCAGCTAAGGAGGCTGAGACAGCCTCACACCTGCTGGCTGCAGCCCAAAGCCCAAAGGCAGAGCCCAGCTCTGCTCTCTGCTGGTCCTGCCCAGTATGCAGGGCATCCCAGGCAGGAAAGGCTGCCATCTCCTCCCATGTGCTGCGCTGAGTGCTGGCTTCTTACTGACTGTTCACAGCAGTAAATATGACAGCTATTTGTGAAACAAAGGAAGGGTTTTATTCATTCTCAACTTCAAAGACTTTTTTAGTTGAGGGAATATACATGTATTGGTTTTGTTCTCTGAGCATTTCTAGCTATCAGCCTGACAACATTTAAGTAAGAACTTACTAGGTGGGTCAGGCCATGGAGCACACAGCCCCCATGGAGCACACAGAAATATTCTGTTTCTGAAGGGGCAGGAAGATCTCTTTAGGGTACATTTACAGGCCAACTCTCTCTAGTGTTCACAATCATTAGATATTGGATATTAGGAAACACAGCACTGACTGCCCCTCTCATCCTATAAACTTGGGATTTGCCCAAGGAAGTATCTATTAGTTGGTATCTGCAGGTTCACAACCTTATCTTTGTGACATCCTGTGGCAGCAGATTGCAGGTTTTCATTACCTACTGTGTGAAGTGTTTATCCACATCTTGAGACATGCCAAGAAATGTTCTGCTGCAGCAACCACTGAAGTGCTAGGCTATCCTAGAAAAGATACTGCTCCTGTCACGTACCTGTACCTTGAAACAGTGTCCTTAGTCTGTTGTGTTGTGTTTCCTGAGTGGGAAGTATGCACTGAACCCAGAAGCTCCCCCACACTCCCCTCATCCTCGCACACTTTCTTACTTTCCCTAGGACAGGTTCACCCTGCTGTCCATCACAATTACTTCTGAAACACCCACCAGTCCTAGTTAAAGTGTTGATGACAAGCACATCTCACCTAACATGAACTGAGAGCAAGGGTCTTGGAGAACAGAGAAAATACAGTGTGACACAAGTATTTTCTGGTTTTGTATACAGATCCCGGCTAGTCACCTTCAGGCTGGAGTTTGGCCAAGAGAAAAAAGAGAAGCCCTGTCTTTTTTAGCCTTAAACACCACAGATACAAAAAAAGGTTGGCTTCAGCTCTTCCTCCTGCTGGCCACAGGGCAGAGGCTTCTTCCTCCTGTCCAAGCTCCCACTGGATGGGTGGGTGGTCACAGCTGCAGCGGTCCATAGCATTGGCCAGCACCTACTTTCCAGTGGCATTTGTGCTCCCCATGGAGCTGCCAGGCAGAGGAGTGGTGTAAGAGCCAGTGCCACCCTCAGCCCTATTTTGGTGTTATAGACAGCCCAATTTTTAATCCCAGCATTTCATCTCAGTTTTGACTTGGACACTCTCACAAGCACTAGAGATCACTAACACAAGAGCAGCAGTCCTTCAGACCCAAATAGCAGATGAAGACTCCTCAGGCACACACCTGCACAGCCTGAGTTTCCCTGGCAAGCCACACAGACTGAAAAAGAAAAAAAAAAAGTTAGTTAGTTTATTTGTTTGTTTGTTTTTAATGCCAGCAACCCCTCTAAGTGTAAATGCTAGATTTGCTAATGGGGATTCACTGTAGGTCTTGAGTAATAAATGAGGGATTCAATAAGGGGAAAATATGTTTCTCCAAAGTCCTATGCAACAAAATGCTTACTCCTCCCTTAGCCTCAATACAGAGTCAGCAGCAGCATAACTCAACAAGGCTTCCACCATGTCTCTATCCCCTAGCTTTTCTCCAGAATTTTGGTCTTTAATGCAAGGAAAATGTTACACAGGCTCTCTGTCTGCAAATCTAATAATAATATTGTGCTATTAATATTATATTTTATATTAATGGTAGGCTACTATTGGATTAATCCTAATATTAGTCTTTGGGAGAAGGTTTTAAAGTAAGCTGATCACAGGCACTTGTTTTACCTGATCAGTAACTAGCAGGATTTAGACCAGCTTTGATGAGGTGGAATGCCACATCACATCTCAATTGTGAGAAGCATGAGGATGCAACATCAAGAACTGGTTTTGAAGAGATCTGGACAGCAGACAGCTTGCCTTTGCCATCAGACTGGGGAAAAACTCCACAAAACCAATACTTCACCTAAGCTGCTATAGACACCGGTACAGTATGTTTGTAACCCTAAGAAGAAGTCGTGTGTTTTGAAGACTTTTTTTTTATTTCTCAAGCGCAGTGAGAGTTAAGAAAAGCAGACCTCTCTTGGCATTTTGAGACCTCCCTCCCTGAAGAAGATAGTTTTGAGGTCACTTTCCTTTACAAAGTAAAGCAATGCACCAGTGCCCTTGAGGCTCCATGCATTCCCATAGGTATGCAGGCTCAATACCTACAAGCAGCTGCCCTTGTACTTCCCAACCCACTAAATAACAGCAGAATTACTATTTATTACAATAATAATAATAATAATAATAATAATAACAATAGTAGTAGTAGTAGTAGTAGTAGTAATAGTAATAGTAATAGTAATAGTAATAGTAATAGTAATAGTAATAATAATAATAATAAAGCTACAGCACCGGCAAAGGAGCTCAGCAGCATCGGTCCTGCCAGAAGGGCCTGTCTCCAAAGCCTGGCGGCCTGTGCCATCTAGCGGTGACAAGCGCCCTTCCCTCCCAAACTGGATACTAAAAGCCTCCAGAATTTTACTATCTTTTTATTTACTATTTCAGACTGAATCTGAGGTGTCCGGTTCAAGGATAAGCATCTTCCACTATCCATGACATCACTTCAAGGCTCAGGAGAAACGTGAGGAGATCCTGGAAGCAAAGACAAAGGAAACGCAAAACCAAGTCTACCCTCCGTACGCGAATATTTTGGAAAATGTAAAACTAAGGCTGCAAAGTGCCACTGCTAGTACTTCAGTGCCACAATTGTTAAATGAACCTCGTGATTTTGCCCAGAGAAGATATGGATGCCCCATTCTTGAAAATACTGGGTTGGATGGTGCTTTGAGCAACCCCATCTTGTGGCAGGTGTCTCTGCCCATGTCAGGGAGGGTTGGAACTGGATGGTCTTTAGGATCTCTTCCAGCCCAAACCATTCCATGATTCTATGATTTTGGAAAATAAAGAGGCTAACAAAGAAATTCAGTAAAATGTGGCAAATCAGAGCCACAAAGTGAAATTCACAGCTCCCTGCCTTGGCATGGCCCCTCTGCTGGCCTGGAGGAAAGATGAACATTCGTCCACATGGCTGTAGTACTCACACTGGTTTGTGTTTTCCAATGTGTCCCCAACCCACTGACACCACAGGTTGATCAGACTGGTTCTGCTCTCGGAAAACCAAAAATCAAGTTGTGCCAGGATCAGAAGTCAAACAGATACGGTGCCACCCAGGCACCAACATGAGAGAGCTTTAGAGGATTTCCATCATTGCAGAGAGGATGCATACCTGGCATGTCCAAGCTAAGCACATCCTCTGCCTATGCCTTGCAGACACCTGCTCCCTGCACCAAGCTCAGCCCTCTTGCAACCACCCAGGTCACCAGGCAGCAGCTCCTGCTTCTCCTAAGGATCTTCTCAAAGCAGGGTCTTTCCAGGGGGAGAAACTCTTTATATTTCTAAAAACTGAGACCACTTATGTTGGAAATAAGTGGTAGGCAGGGACAGATTTTGATGCATTCCACCATGGCAAGGAAGTTGCCCAACATTTTTAAACATGTTAAAGACCAAAAGCTCATCAGCTAGCATCAAAAGACTCATTTGCCACAGGAACTACAATTAACCCAAAATAAGCAGTAAGTTCTCACAAAGATAGAAGGCTCCTGATTAAATCCTCGAGTGAGAAGGAGCAGGGCACTGTGCTAGGAAGTTAGAGATTGACTTTAATAAAAATTCAGTGCTGACACAGCCCCAGCAGTTCAACTTAGCACACAGTTGTAGCAAAACTTGCTTTGAGCCACAGCCTGTGTTACTTGTGAACAAACAAATTTGCTGGCAGAAGGCTTTCAACTCCCCCAAAAAAAGTTAAAATACTCTAGTGCAGAAGAGAGGACATTTACATGACAGAGAAAGGTATTCTCCTTGGAAGTGTTCTGAGGAAGACACAGGTTACATGTAACTTTTTTTGAAACTTCACTGTTACCTGCATTGAAGGCTGGATGTTTTAACAGACTGTGGACAGCAGTCAGCTGCCTGAATTGTTCAGCACACCCAGACCCAGGGAGAAAGATTCACAGGCAAGTACCTCTCAGACCACAGATGTGGGATCCCACAGATGTGGCATCTTACCCTTCTCAGTTCAAGTACACTGCCAGCATTTGGGATGAGTCACAGTGGCAGTGACACAAAACAAGCCAGCAGAGGCAGGTACACCACAAATAGTATGTTGTGTGTTTTCAATATGTGGACAACAACCAGAGTGGCCACATTACAGCCCTATCCCCCCATCTTTCCCTACATATTAGAGTCTCTCAGCTGCCAAAGTTAAAGGAACATTTGTGCTATTCATTTCCCACTATGGAAAATGAAAAGCCCAGCGAATAGAAACATATGGAAAATAAAGCCCAAGATGTACTTGATTGCAGTGTCCCACTTTGTGAAAATAATTCCTTTGCCTGAAGTGGAATCCACCACTGCTAGACATCCACATAAGCCCTAGACCAGATGAGAGCCTTTTCCCAGGCACTGTGAAGCAGTGCCAAAAAGTCTCCCTTCTATCCAACTTTCAGTGTTCAGCTTTCAGAGATAACACTGTGATTACAAACATCCACAGATGATCAAAACATAAGTGCTTTTATGGTCGACATGAAGAACACAGCAATATTCATGTCTTAAACATTTAACATAAGACCCAAGATATTCACATAGCCGACTTCCAGTCTGATCACAGATAAAAACATGTTCATGTTAAGTAAAACCCAAGCAAGATGTAACACTGGCTGTATTTTATAAAGATTGTGTACTTTAATTACATAGACTCAAGGCCACAGGAGACCCCTGATAGCACAGGAGCACCCATAGTACCAGTTAAAACAGCTTTTGTTGGAACTTGTGGCAAACTTGTACAATGGCACCTTTATTCATCCCACTGGAACAGACCAAAAAGGGATTCTTTGGGATCAGCACCAAAGCAGAAAAGCAAGAACGAGTTTCACATGCACTTGACACCAGTTGCCCATCACTGATTGTTCTCACCTATATTAGCCCCCAACACACACCACCATATACAAATCCAACTTTCTGAGCTGAAAAGCCTGGGTGCTCAAGTCACGTAACACCAAGACATTTTGCTGCACTCCATTAGTAGCCTGTTTTTAGAAGGGAGAAGAGTAAGACAACAGCAGAACATTTGTTCTCTCATATTTCAGATTTTTCTTCAAAATCTTCTTTTAATGTCTGATTCTTAAATAAAATAACCCAGGATACAATGTATGCATTTTTCTTAACAGAAGCAGTAAGGGATGAAGCATGTTCTCCCTTCCTTCTCCTGTACATCTTCATTTCCAAAATAAGAACTTCCTACTTCATCAAGACACTTATTTTAGAAAAACTAGAGTCTACAACCAATCATAGATGGAAAAAAGCAGAGAGGGGAGGTGGCTTGATTTTTGGGTGGTTGTTGTTTGTTTTGTTTTTTTTAGTTGCTAAAATGAAATTACAACTTCCAAGGTATATGGCAGGAAAAACACCTTTACTAACAACTACTTTGAAAGATATACACAAACCTGCCCTTTACAATGAAGTCATCTGCAGGTATAGCACCAGCTAGAATGTGACTGTTGATCAATCCTCTTTTGTAGTGTTTCACACTCAAACAAGCAGTCTAACTCTACAGACAAAATCCCACTCAAAAAAGTAATCAGGAAATCACTCAGGTCAAATATTCATATCAAGTCTGGTTACTTTATTTTTCATCTGTGCAGTCAGTTAAAAGAACAGTAATGATGAAAACATAACCACAGAAGCTTTAGGTACAGTTTTGTAACACTGAAGAAGCAAATGACCACACTGAACACATTCTTTATGCTGGTCATTTCTAAATGAAACAGGAGGACATACACAGGCCTAGTTCAGTGTAAAACCTGATATTAAGCAGCAATGTGATCACAAATTGCAACACTGGCAAACACAACACAGGAAATTACTGCTTATTCGAAGTTACACAGCCCCTGCAACAAAGATGATATGACTGTATTTAAAATAAGAACCCAAAATACATTCAAGATAACAGCTGCAACAATAAGGCAATCGTTTTAAAAATAGATCCCATTAAACAAAACAAGACCAACCTGTTGCCTTCATAAGGTTTCAGACTTGGATGGGTGAATATAAAGTTAAGTGCTTACCCACCACTAACGCTTCGGAAGGACATTGATAAGAACACCTGAAGACAGTATATTGGACTGCCAGCAATCACAACCCAGGTCATACCACAAGCACATGTCCCACACACACAGCTTTGCTCTTACACGTCTGCATGAAGTGCCCCGTACAAAGATTTCACTACAGTTTCCTTCAAGAAAAATTAAGCATTGACAGAAGACATTAGCATTTCAAAATTCTTCCAAACCAATTATATACCTTTGGCCTGCTACTAGTAAGATCATTAAAGCTATACACTAGGGAGAAAGCGTAATTGGTAGCTACATCACAACAACATTAAAAAAAAATAGCATCAGCTGTTTAAGAAAAAAAAAAGACTGAAAAAAACTTGGGAGTGAAATGTATACCTACAGACAGCATGGAAGGGAGAAGAAAGTTGTTTGGCTAGAGCAGATGAGCTTCCCAGAGGTTCCACGTCCATCTTATTGCATATTTGATCGGTGTCCACATTCAAACCCACACAGATTTCTCCTTCATTATCTCGCTGCAGAGTCTTGATTGTTGTACCTTCAAAGCTACCCTGAACTAGCCATGTATACTGCCATAACTTCACGTTTCTTCACAGCTCCTAAAATCAGGGACTAAGTTACTGTTTCTTAGCCAGGGACACTATAGGCATCAGCCTTTTTCTGTGCACTAAAGGCTAGGTAAAGTGAAGTGCAGTGGAGTGTCAATATCTTATGTCAGTACAGAGCAAGTATCTTTATTTGTAAGCCTATATTAGCAAAGCTTAAGACAAAGATGCTAAGTTCTTAAGAAAAATGTCCCAGCACTTAAATAGCACTGCTAGACTGGAAGTCTCACCATGTGACAAGACATAAGCACATAAGAAAATTCTGACATTAAGTTATGTGAGGCAAACTGGAAGCCACAGGTTTAAACTTCTTAACAGCTAAAAATACAAGACTGTTTTTAAAGTCCTGATTAAGTTTTTCTCCATGGAGCAATGATCCAAATACTACCACATATCCAAACTTCGAGAGAAAACTGAAGCTGTTCAAGATGAGACCTGTTGGTAGTTCTCTCTCATACACACGTTACAGGTGGTACATGCATGCTCCTTGTCCTTCCAAAATCTCATGCATCAATCTTCAGAGTTTCTAGATAAACAGAAGTGGAGCTCTTCATTCTGAAGTGCAATGTCGAAATAGCCGTAGAACTCATAATCAGAGAAAACAGGAGCAACTGCTGATTACTGGTAAAAATCTGCAAGTCCTACAGCAAACATGAGGTATCGAATTCCATGCTGGAACACTGTCAGAGTGTCCCAGCAATGTCTGACAAACTGCTAAGAGAGCCTTAACTGCTTCTAGGAAAAAAAATCTGTTAGATACCAAATACCTGATGTAAAGGTGTACTAGGAGAGCTAAGAGTAGGGCTCATTATCCAAATACCAAAGATGACACTTCAGAATACTAAACAGTGAGTAGTGCATAACCCAGGCACCTTCCCGTCTCTGGCACAGGCTGGACTTGGAACAAAAGGTTCAGGAAAAACATTCAGAAGCCTAGCAGAACTGTTTAAACTATAATCCTTCTTATATACCAAAACCAAGAAAACAGGTCTTGCCATCCAATTGCTTTCTTTGCATCTCCTTCTTTTTTAAAAAGGAGGAGATAATAAAAACCTCCAAATCATGTGCACCTAGTAGGATTTTTCATATTTCATTTATACTTTTTATATATACAAGAACTTAACTAAAATCTCACTTTAGAATATGTTCTAAAGCACGATATTCTTTCAAATGAACTTTTTAGTTCACATGCTTTCTCAAGGTTGAAAAAATATATATATTTATACACCACTAAGGAAATAAAACTCAATTTCATTATATGTAGTTACAGTGCTGTAAAGAAAAAATAATTTATTAACTATTTCAAGTCTGAAATATTTACTATGTTCAGACTAATGCAAAGGCTAAGCCTATGGTCCAGGACCTGTTCTTCATCTGCATGCTGAGATGGGAGATATGGGAGCTCAGCATTTTTTGTGATGGAGATTTCTCTCCACCCCTCCCTTCTTCCATATTCTGTGACTTGCTGCTGAAGCCCTCCCTGAATCTCTACTGTAGTAGCATCATCCATTGGTAGATCAGAAGTAAAGGTCCACTGGGATCAATGGTACCTCTTAGGTCAGTTTCTTAGTACGGTCCCACCACCGAAGGACACAGTGCAGAGGGGGAAACCATTCACCGTTCATTCAGAAGTTCAGTGGAGTACTTTAAGTTGTGTCTTCCGCAGGTGCCCTTCGCTGCCGAGCTGATTTCTGTCTCCCTCTATGAGGCGAGGGAGGAGTTTCCTGCTCAGTTTCAGTTTCTGATGGCTCGTTGTCCCCCTGCTGGGACCCGGTATCACCTATCAATTCTCTCAGGAATTTGAATTTAGACAAGAACAATTGCCAGACCACATACCATCCTATAGGAGAAAGAAAAAGGATACTGCTTAGTTACTTCATACAAATTGATAGTCAGCTCAATGGCAAAGTATATCACAAGAGGGGAAAAAAATCTGATCAGCTCCCACCCTCTATTTGCCAACCCCAACAGCCCTCCACAGCACACACACTTATTTTTACAGTCCTATAAAAACCAATTCAACTTTGTAAAGTTCGTCCTCACCCAGAAGCAACATTTAAGCTCCAGGAAAAGCCCTACACATTCCAAACTGAACTGCCACAGCAAGTAGGTGGGTGATCACCATCACCATCACACAGATAAAGGCCTTAATTGTCAGGAAAAAAGAAGTCCTGTGGTTATATCTCGAACAACGACTCAGGATTCATTACACAGGCACTGTGAAAGCACTAGAATTTCTCCCCTTACCCAGCAAACACTCCAGTCTGGAAATCACATTTTAAAAGTTGCATAACAGAATCACTATTCAGCACACTTGCTCAGATCCTCAAATTAATACATTTTATAATAAATCCTATTCTGAAATGGACAAGGTCTTCCTTATGTTCATGAAAAGACCACATCCCCCAAATTCAACGAGATCCCTCACCATGCCCAAATCCCACTAAAGTAAAAATAACATTCTGTGGTAAATCTATGTTCTGTTCCACCACTAAAATACTCCAGGTCCCAATATTATGCAAGTAAAGAACTGAGATGGCCACATTTCTAGAATCTATCTTTAAAAATACTTAAGATCAACCAGCTCCTCCTCCTTTGTCTTATCTAAGTGTTTCTGTAACAGGTAGAGGAAAAAAAAAAAAAAAAACACAACTTGAAAAAGCAGATATGGAAGTATGACTTGAGTATAATTTGTTGTAAATAAATATTCCATTAAAGGAGGTACTTTAACTTAAGCCAAATAATGTGAACTACATGCTTCCTCTATCACTGCAAACAGGCTACTTAACACCCAGAATTACTATGTGTTGGGGAAATACTATAAAACATATGAAGTTCATTTGCACTCTCAAGAAAAATGGCACTAATTTCTTTTCATTGTTTGGTTTGAGTTAGAGAGCAGAGCAGAATGGTCAAAGTATCCAAAACCCCAAGTACCATAAACAGATTTTGGAGCTCTCTAGCTTCAGACTACAAACAAACCAGTGTAAATAATCAGCCAAGGGGACTGGTTCTAGCAGCCAAACAAACAGACCAGAGTAACAGACAAGTGAAACAAACCACAATGCAGTGGGTTGAAAAGAAAATTACAACACGCTAAGCCAAAGGTATTAGTGGGAGGGCAACCAGGCTTGAAAACCAGAATAAAAAACCTCACAAGACCGCCTAGCCTGTACCAGAGACCTTTAGGTATAATCAAAGTAGAAAGACTTCTTTCTTTCACTTGCTCTAGTTAACATGCCAGCTTGGATGGAAAGTTAAAAAAAAAAATCCCCAAAACAAACACACTTGTCCAAATCAAGTTAAGACTGCCTCTTCAGCTGAGCCTCCATGTCACTAAATAAATAAGAATTTTATTGGAAATAACCAGACTAGTAAAAAAAAGTTATTCTGGGTAATAAAAAAATCTCTCCAGCAACAATATCGGCTAAATACATCATTAAACAAAACCACACACACAGACACAAAGCCTGGAGGCAGATTCACATTGTCTCTGAATCAAAAGACAATGCCTCTTCTATTTTCTCATTCTATTAAGAACATTGCAAAATGGTAACACCCATCACTGTGCCATACTAAAGAACTGTAAGTTACATAACTGTGTTTGAAAAAAAAAAAAAAAAAAAAAAAAAAATAAAAAAAAAACACCCACACAAAAAAAAAAAAAAAAAGGAAGATGGGCATCTCTAGGCATTCTTGACTGTATGTGGCTTAGTTTAGCTTTGTGCTGTAGAGCTCTTCCTGGACACGTAAATGACACCATTGGTTTGCATCTCTAACACTTCCACTCTGTTCAGGTAAGCTGCTCTCAAAGAAGTCCTACTGGTTTATCTTCACCACACACAGAAACATTTGATTAGAATCAGTCTTTCAGTGCTTGCTTTATTTTCTTTAGCTATTTGATTTACCTTTCAAAATAATCCTTAGCTTGACTGAGCCTGTGGAAGCCAAACAGCACACCCACAACCTGTCCTCAGCAAACAAGCAGTGATGACATGCAGAATGATACATAATATTTCTAGACTAACTGGCGAAAGAAGTTGCCTCTCAAAGCAGTAAGCCAGATCAAACAAAGCAGGGGATCCAACTCTTGACGTAGCACATACCTGAATCCCGTTTTGCAAAATCTAAGCTACCAGTGTTTTGCAGCTAGGCAGAACAGCAGCTCCCAGCCTTGCAGAGTTTAGTACTCATTAAAAACTGGGTGCCACCATCTCACTTAAAAATGCCACAGCCAGATGCCATGCAAAGACACATCTGGTAATCTGGATTCAGTAGGTCAACCCCCTCTAATAAATCACGATGCAATGTGTTTGTGAAGATGGGGCTGTGAGTCAAAGCCTTTGACTAACTCATCGAGGATGTATGTAACATACATGCAATTCAGATGTTAATCAGATTTTATGGTTTGACTAGACCTCATAAAAACTACTTTTTCTGTTACTTCCCACATCGGCTCCTGGTTCTTTGTAAAGGGGAAAGAAACAGTGATGTAACTACAAAGTTACTCCCAGTCCAAAAGTGAGGGATAACAAGCCTCAGGCCCGTCTATTTCATTCACCTTTCACTGGCTTGTATGCAACAGTTGAGTTTTCTTTTTTGAAGCACATTTTCCTCTTCTATCTCAATCAGGAAAAGCAAACAGAAGAAAAACCCCAGGGTTAATATGGAGTTCTGGGTAAAAGCAACTTGATTTTTCTTATGTGAAACACAAATGAAACCAAGAAAGGCAGGACGGTGATGCAGTAACTGCAATAACAACACAGAGAAGACTGAGCTTCCAATTTTGAGCCTGCTGTGGAATTCACGCGTAGTCTTGCAAGATCATTTTACTTCTGTGGATTTGGAAATAGGATCCTATCATGCCAAAACATGGCATGATTTAAAACTAGGGTATCACCATGGTGAATGTTGCCTATATTCAAATGCTGAAGTGCCCATTGCAGGAAAAAAAAAAA